TTTAATGTGATAACCGAGGCCTGAACAGTCTGAGATGTAGCTTTCAGGTTTTTTGCATTTTTCTAAGCATTGCACAGCCTGAGCTTAAGGTGAATTTGCCTGGATATATACTTCTGGTAAGAAGCTGCCCAAATGTCTTTTTTCCCCCCTACAGATGCACTCACACTTGTTGATGATCAATTAATCAAGGCCATTTGATTAACAGCACATGGCTGACTTCCTCCTCCTCCTCCTGAAAGCAGTAAGGGAGTCTCTGTTTCCCTCCTGTGTGCGAGCTGTGAGAGCTGCACATAAGTAGCCACTCAGTTCTGTCTGTGCCACTCACAATTAGAGATGAGTGTTATAGTGGTTGGATAGCACTACATGAACATTAAATTATACCAAATTCCTAGCCCCATCCCTGGTGGCAGTAGCCACCAGGTTTAAGACCTTTACTGGCAGAAACCCTGGATGATGGTCAAGAGTGATCACTAATAGCTTGCTAGTCGAGACAATATTCAGGTCGTTCAGCCTATTACTGCATTCAATCAATATTATTTTTAAATCATTGTCGGGTGTCAGCATTTCCACATATAACTGACATGTGACACCAGGATTCATGAGTACACAGGCGAACACACGGGTCAGATTAGCATCTCTGATATGTTTGAAATGCTCGTCTGTGTGAGAAGCAGCTACGGCTCTATATGGTTGGAGTGATGGCAGCTTATTATACAAACATAGGTTAGTGATTTAATATTTAAAGATGACAATTTTTGTCAAATACACACGAGAAAATGCTAACATAATACATATTAATATGTAGTGCCTTACTACCCATCTCTTCTATAATGCGTTTTTGGTATACAGTATGAGGGTCATCACACTGCAACAGTTAGATTATACAGAACTGACCTGACAGCAGCTTACTCTGACTTATTAAACAGAGGATTGTAATGAATTTTATATTACTGAATGACATGTTTTATTACTGAGCAGCACCCATCATTGTACCGCTCCCTAGTGAGACTTGAAAGCTTGCTTGAATTAAGCAAACTTTCATTTAAGATGAAATGGCCATGTGTACCATTCCATATTAAATCTCTGTACAGATTGGTGGAAGCTGCAGTATACGGGGGCATATTAACTAGGAAGAATAAATTACAGGTCCTCACAGACTTGGCTGCTACTCCTACTTTATGTGGTGTAACTGCCTCCACCAGCAGGTTTCTCTTTGGCATGTTCCTACTGTCCTATGCGTCATGCCTGTCAATCTGCATACTGTTCCAGTTACTATCACATTTAACTAAATAATTTTTTAAAGCTTGAACCTCCTTAAGCCTTGAAACTGTTTCAGTGTGGCTTGTTAGACGGATAATATTTGCTGTGTGTGGTGAACCGGGTGTACCAAAAAGAATCATCTGATTTCAAAAGGCTGCGGTTTTTGAAGTAATGGAGATGGAAGCTTGTGGTAAATTTTAAAATACTGAGCTGAATATAAAGTTTTACATGCAAAATGTTTGCAAGTGCTGAATGTGTTCCCTTCTGGATGCATGGCATATGTCCATACGATAGTCAGACTCCCATACTTTTGTGAGCATGTCTGGAGTCACTGCAGCCGCTGTTGTTGTGCTGCCTATCGGGAAACACGTGAAACTCAGGGATCTGCTCTTTCTAACAGTACCTGTTTCAGTTGTTACCGTTGAACGTCTGTGGAATCAAAGCATTTTGAAATTGGATTTTACTTTTTCATAAACCCTGTATTAAGGGATTTACACACCCGATGTGTAAAATCTGTGCAAATATTTTTTTGGACTCCCCTATTTTTATTGCAGCCGTTCACACCGACCGCGTAATTTCGCTGGACAAATTTGCAGCATTTATTTATTTATTTATTTTTTTAGCCAAGCCTGATTATTCTGATTCCAGTAGACAGATCTGAGCAATCAGACTGCTGCATTTGGCAGCATGTGCACTTGCAGCTCAAAACACGCACTGGTGCTCCATATACAAATAGTAAAACAATACCGTTTTACCTCAGACTCAGAGCTAGATGCTGCTCCGGGTCAGTCGGCTCTCTGGAATTATTTCTCTGCTTCCTCAGATGTGGTCCCAACTTCTCCAACAAGAGCTCGAACTGCCCCACTGACACCCTAAAATATGTACAGCAACAGCTTCGACTCCTGGATCAAACCATAAAATTCTCCGTGCTGCTGCCTCCTCATGAGAACTGGATAAACCCAGAATCTCAGTTTCTTCCTTGTCTTGTCTGTCTTCATTTTTTTTCGTGTGTGTGTGTGTGTGTGTGTGTGTGTGTGTGTGTTGTTTTTTTGTTTTGTTTTGTTTTTTTTTAAGTACAAATTTTCTGCAAAAATGCAACCCATTCGGTATTTGTAAGAGCTCAGTGTGTAACTTTATAGTGCAAAAGTAGTTCCTGGTTATGTTCCTGCTGAACGCAGCCTTGGCAAACGTTGCATTTCTAATAACTGCAACAGGGTGGTTGGGCTCACCTGCTCTCCACAAACACCTGAATCATCACACATAAGGTTGTCCTCTCAAATTAATATGATGTCTTTAAACCTTTAAGGATCGGACTAGACTTTGTCAGTCCAAGATTAACTTCATGTTGCTGTTGACACAGGTGCTGGAATGATCTGCCTACTTTCTCTATTCATGTGTGAAAAGCAAATATACTTTTGCTGATATTTATCATGATGGCAAACTGCTTTTCTTTTAACTCGTGGAACTAATGGAGGAATAGAAGAAATCTGACAATAACTTGCTGTACTCTGCTGTCATGTTAAAAATGCTTAGTTTGCTAGGATCACCCTCAATGGGTTACCTAAGTGCATTTGTAACAGTCTCTGTGTGTACAAAAACTTTACCTTGAAGTTGATGGGTCATTTACTAAATGACCATGATTTTTGTGTCTCCAACTTTGCTAGAAAAGTCGGTGTGTGGTTCAGACTCCTAAACTCCATGTCTGATTTATAAACTTAGTAAAAAAATTGCATGTACAGTGGGGCAAAAAAGTATTTAGTCAGCCACCGATTGTGCAAGTTCCCCCACCTAAAATGATGACAGAGGTCAGTAATTTGCACCAGAGGTACACTTCAACTGTGAGAGACAGAATGTGAAAAAAAAAATCCATGAATCCACATGGTAGGATTTGTAAAGAATTTATTCGTAAATCAGGGTGGAAAATAAGTATTTGGTCACCTCAAACAAGGAAAATCTCTGGCTCTCACAGACCTGTAACGTCTTCTGTAAGAAGCTTTTCTGTCCCCCACTCGTTACCTGTATGAATGGCACCTGTTTGAACTCATCATCTGTATAAAAGACACCTGTCCACAGCCTCAAACAGTCAGACTCCAAACTCCGCCATGGCCAGGACCAAAGAGCTTTCGAAGGACACCAGGAAAAGTATTGTAGACCTGCACCAGACTGGGAAGAGTGAATCTACAATAGGCAAGCAGCTTGGTGTGAAAAAATCAACTGTGGGAGCAATCATCAGAAAATGGAAGACATACAAGACCACTGATAATCTCCCTTGATCTGGGGCTCCACGCAAGATCTCATCCCGTGGGGTCAAAATGATCATGAGAACGGTGAGCAAAGATCCCAGAACCACACGGGGGGACCTGGTGAATGACCTGCAGAGAGCTGGGACCAAAGTAACAAAGGTCACCATCAGTAACACACTACAACGGCAGGGAATCAAATCCCGCAGTGCCAGACGTGTTCCGCTGCTGAAGCCAGTGCATGTCCAGGCCCGTCTGAAGTTTGCCAGAGAGCACATGGATGATACAGCAGAGGACTGGGAGAATGTCATGTGGTCAGATGAAACCAAAGTAGAACTTTTTGGTATAAACTCAACTCGTTGTGTTTGGAGGAAGAAGAATACCGAGTTGCATCCCAAGAACACCATACCTACTGTGAAGCATGGGGGTGGAAACATCATGCTATGGGGCTGTTTTTCTGCCAAGGGGACAGGACGACTGATCCGTGTTAAGGACAGAATGAATGGGGCCATGTATCGTGAGATTTTGAGCCAAAACCTCCTTCCATCAGTGAGAACTTTGAAGATGAAACGAGGCTGGGTCTTCCAACATGACAATGATCCAAAACACACCGCCCGGGCAACAAAGGAGTGGCTCCGTAAGAAGCATTTGAAGTCCTGGAGTGGCCTAGCCAGTCTCCAGACCTCAACCCCATAGAAAATCTGTGGCGGGAGTTGAAAGTCCGTGTTGCTCGGCGACAGCCCCAAAACATCACTGCTCTCGAGAAGATCTGCATGGAGGAATGGGCCAAAATACCAGCTACTGTGTGTGCAAACCTGGTAAAGACCTATAGTAAACGTTTGACCTCTGTTATTGCCAACAAAGGTTATGTTACAAAGTATTGAGTTGTATTTTTGTTATTGACCAAATACTTATTTTCCACCCTGATTTACGAATAAATTCTTTACAAATCCTACCATGTGGATTCATGGATTTTTTTTTTTCACATTCTGTCTCTCACAGTTGAAGTGTACCTCTGGTGCAAATTACTGACCTCTGTCATCATTTTAGGTGGGGGAACTTGCACAATCGGTGGCTGACTAAATACTTTTTTGCCCCACTGTAATGTAGTGAATAATTGTTATGCCAAGCTTTATTTAAGTGAAACAGAGTAAAAGGATTACCTTTGATCGTTATTTTATGGCAACACATTGCCAGATTTGAAGCAAAGTAACAGCTCAGGTCTATTTCATATGCCATTTACTGCTAAAGGATTTGCGATGCTTTAATTGGATTAATAAGTAAATTAAGTTTTCCGCTGCAACTGAGTACATGCACTTGGATGAAACACAACCTTAGGTGGCAGGTAGCGAGGGTGTTTTCCCAGAGAGTTTCTGGCCGTGTGCCCAAGTCCGGGCGACAGGCCAGCTCCTCTCACTTACACTCATATTTGTCATACCTCGAGCAAGCACATGAGGTTGACCTCTTGTTTCTGACATGATGTTTCGTCTTTACCCACAGAGGTGCGAGCTCTGTCCCCACAAAGATGGAGCGCTCAAGAGGACGGACAACGGAGGTATGCTTCTTCTCAGCTGCGCACACACACTCATACATGCTGCCATCTGTGGTTAACCTCTTGTGGATTTTGTCATTAATTGCATGTCACCAGCAAGTTTAAGGGCTGTAAGCATGCTGGGAGAGTTATGTTGCTGTTTGTTGTATGTGCTGCCTCTGTAGCGTCCTTGCCAGTCCATGTTTTATGAGGGTGTGTCAGTGTGTGTATGTTTATGGGGGGGCGGGACAGGATGGGTATAGTGCGTAGCCTGTGAGGAGTCTCCACACTGGGTTCATTGGGAGGTCAGCTTGTTGGAGACTGTAAATATTCTCTGTGCGCGTGTGTGTGTGTGTGTGTGTGTGTGTGTGTGTGTGTGTGTGTGTGTGTTTGTTTGAGTCAGGCTGAGAGAGGCACAGCTGTGGGATTGTGTCCAGGCCTGCAGGGAGGCATCAGGACAACACTAACACACACCATTTTACTACTTTCTCTTTTATTTTACCCTTCCCATGACCCCTCTCTCCCTCGTTTTTCCTCCCATTTTTCTTTCACAATCTTTTCCCCAACTCTGTTACTCCGCTCATCAGTTCCTCTTCACTTGTTGATCTGTGTGGTGGTAGTTGTTGTTTCAGGTGGGACCGTAATAAAGCAGAGCAAGTTCTGAAATGGGTATTTGATCCATCATGTTAACATATAGCAGACCGAGAAAAAAGGAATAGCATAGAAAGGCAGAAATTCAGTCTTTATCCGTCTTCCCGGTCTCCATTTTACAGCTTAAGGTTAAAGATGATCATTTTCAATCATCATCTGTCTTCATATATTTAATTGGGACCCGATTGAAACACATTTGGTTCTCACAGGTTGGTTGTAAGACATGTTAAACTCGAGGCAGCAGTTTGAAAACTTCAGGTGTTGATTTGGAGCGTCATTGTAAAGTTTATAACTGTACTGTGACAGCAGAGACCACATGGCTCCTAATGTTTCAAGTGTTTATCAAAGGAGCTAATAAGCCATTATCAGAAGCTCGCAGCCCTTTGCCTCATTTTTAACTTTTGTCTCAGCACGGTGGACTCTGTTAACTTCTTGACGTCACAGATGTCGGTAAAACGATGCTTTGTTCGGTTCTTGTGGGATTAAAGTGCGAACGCTGAGTTTGAGGAGGAAGGTTGTGCCAGTTTTATAGTCCTGTTTTATAGGCCTCTTCCAGATTCTTGGAGGGACTTCAAAACAACAACATGCCCCCATTTTACACTCGCTCCCTCCCCTGTGTCCCGCCCTCTGCCCTCCTCCCCCTGTCCCGCTCACCAGGTCAAAGGCAGGTCAGGGGTTCAACTGTAAGTTTAAGCCTGTTTTTGTTTCCGCTATGGGGGGAAAAACAGACACCTCCAGTGTAGCAGGAGACTCCCACCTCCATCTGACCTCCTGTTCACCTCCTCCAACTCCTCCTCAGCTCGTCGTCAATTCTGCTGCCACTCCACCATGCCTATGCCTCACTGTCATTCTGCTGCCCCCAGTTTGTCTTCACTGACAGGAAGCTGTGCATGTGTTAAGGCTCAGTGAATGGCTGCTTAGGTCGATGACCACCAATTTACAAATTAAAGCATTTGAGATTCTAGATCGAAACTCCAAGAGGTGAGGTTCACACTGACTTATCAGCAACCCTAAAGTTACATTTTTAGGTTTGTGTGACACTGCACAGCTTTAAAGGAGATGATTTATATATAATGTAGCTTCAACTAGGGGATAACCTTAAAGTTGAACTTTGTTGACATAATTTGCTGTTTAAAACAGGTGATAAATGATTGCAATACTAAGCATAGCACAAAATGGTAATAATTGAAATACTGTCACATTGTAAGTAAAGTATTGTAGTGTAACATCATATCATGGGGTATTCCCACCTCTAGATTCAGCATGGTGATTGGGAAGGGCCCACAGTGGCTGTGTTGGTTTGGGCTTTTAGTTTCAACCATTAAAAAACAAATAAAAGAAAAGTCAATTTTGTGATTGACCATCAGATGAAATAGTGTTTGTCCTCTGGGTTTACTGTGTCCACTTCCCACGTAAAGCTTTACTATATTGGGAAAACTTGAAACTGACAAAATGAACTTCGCTCACATTTTATTACTTTTGAGGACTTTTGCAGGCGGTTAACATTTCTACTTGTAAACTGTGAAATGTTACCACAAATGACCTTTGAACCTATATCTGGTAGACGTAGAGGGTCTGATAAGTCTTCTTTGTGTATCTTTACAGGCTGGGCCCATGTGGTTTGTGCCCTTTACATACCTGAGGTGGAGTTTGCTAATGTGTCAACTATGGAGCCCATAGTACTCCAGTCTGTGCCACATGAGCGCTACAATAAGGTAACAAATGTATCTATGCTCTTAGACTTTACAAAAACAGATGTATAATGTCATACTGTGAGTAATTAAGTCCAGCCGTTTTCACACGTGCACTCTGGTTGGGATAATGTCGGGAGAACCGAGTCCATGCGTTGTCTGAAGTTGCCGTTTCTCATTTGTAGCACCCAACAGGGAATTGTGTGTGTCATACGTTTTCTCACTACTGGAAATATTCCCTTAAGTGAGGTGGAGCGCCTGGGTAGATCGTGCAGGAGGCACTTCACATGGCCCAGATCAGTCCCTGTGAAATCTCTGAATAATTACATAGACCTTCTGCTGTCGCTCTGGCAATGGAAAGTCCATTTAATGTCCAATCATCTGAAGTACATGTGTGAAAATGGCTTATGTATTTAAATTGAAATGGGTTTCCCTAACTGTATGTTTGCGTGTACAGACATGTTATATCTGTGAGGACCAGGGGAGAGAGAGTAAAGCAGCCACTGGAGCCTGTATGACCTGCAACAAACATGGCTGCAGACAGGCCTTCCATGTCACATGGTGAGACTCACTTGCATCGCATTAACCTCACTTGACAAAGACACATTTTGTTTCTTCAGCTGTTCACTCGCTTTTAAGACCTCTAGCTTTTAATGCTGACAGCACTGGGCAAAAAAAAAAAATAGCATGCATGAAAATATATATTGAGTAACTTTAAATGTTAATATTGCCAACATGACCTTTAATGGTAGTTTGCTATGATTGCTTGTCTTACATTAGTTTAAGAGCTGAGCGCATTTATCGACCATTATAAATGCCAATACCACTATATCTGCAAACAGCTAGTATTGGCCGATGTAGCGATATGTTGGGCTCTAATGCTAACCGGCTAGCAGTAGTACTCTTTGGTAATACCACTTTGTTTTTCAAGAGGCAGTAGGGACTTACTAAAGCACTTAACTTGCCTATCAGTCCAAAATGAAAGGAAGAAGTAGTTCTGTTCTTACAGAGTGCATATTCTAATGGATATTTCACATTTACATTGGAGCAGCTGTGTAGCATTGCCACCAATGCTACTCATAGAAATCATCCAACAGCTAGCCTCTGTGGTAATTTCCAGGAGAGGCTACACATCCTCAGTTTCCAGCAGGGTCTTTGCTGTCACAAGTCCAGGAAATGAGGTTGGGTTAAGAAGTTGAAGAAGTGATAGCAGCTGGGTTTTGCATCCATACTGTTCCTTAATGGGATGCTAACTAGCTAATAAATTGGATTACGTCCTGCAAAACATGCAGCGGGAGTTTCTAAACTCCAGAACTCCACATCTCAAAATGAGCTAATTTCATATTGTGCTGCTGGTAATGTAGCTCTGGGATGTCAAGCTTGTGTGTATTTGGATAAGTTTCTAGTTACTCACAATTATTAGTGTAGTACTGCACTGAATCTGCATTGTTTTCTCCAAGTAATTATGCACTGCTACAATCTGAGTCGTTATTCAAACACTTTGAAAACGTTATTCAAAGTTTGTGCAATGAGGCACAATCACGATGAAAGTTGTTTCAGTATCTCTGGGTGATGTAACAGAAATGACAGTAGCCCTGTTTTAGAAAAAGGAAGTAGACCTTTTATTTTCCTCTTTTTCTTCTTCTCTTATTTTAATAAATATTTCTTCATCTTGTCCAAACCAGTATTCCTCTTCTTCGTGTACAAATCATAATTTTTTTTGTCGACTGTCTGAATTTCCCCCCACTACTCTCCACCACAGTGCCCAGTTTGCAGGATTGTTATGTGAGGAACAGGGATCAGATGCAGACAATGTCAAATACTGTGGATATTGCAAATACCATCACAGCAAATTGGTAAGTGTACTCTCAGATTTTTGTCATTTTCCAGAGATAACTTGCCTATTGTGTCTGTTTTAACAATGTGGATGAGAATGTGTTTTCCGTTCCACTAACTACGATTGGTGATAAGCATGTAGACATAACACACACATCACACAATTACTGGTTTACTTTCAGCACAGTGAGAAATGCCGTTCTTTTATCTCTACTTTTGTGAATTGTACATAATCTTTTCTTTGCTATTTTTCTTCTATCCCCATCTCCCCTCTCATAACTGTGTCCTTCTCCTTAATGCTTTTTTGTCACATCTTTCTCCTCCTTTTTTCTTTTCCAAACTTTCAAGTTGCCCCCCTCCCTTTAGCCAGCTTCCTGCAACTTTCAAAGACTCTTCCCTCAGTCTCACAGCTTTCTTCTTTTTTCACCTTTTCCTTCCCCTCTATCTTTCTCACTCCATCTAGCGTTATCCGTTCTCCCATCGCACCCTCCACTTCCTCATCTGTTTGTCCAAAGGAAGCACTGGCTACAGTGGACTGGCTTTGCAGTTGCTGGGGCCCTTTGAGCCTGTATTTTACTGTAGGGTCAAACGGGGATAGTCGTTGCTATATTAATTGTGTAATATGACTTCTTGTTTTCAATTCAGTGTAGTTTCAGTTCGTTTCCAGAGGGCATCTTCTCATTTCAGTTTAGTTTTTGTTAGTTTCAGTGTTAGTTTTAGTGTTTTAATTATTATCTTTCATTATTTCACAGAGAGCATATGTCAAAGACAAGATATAGGAAAAGAGACAGGTATAATAAAAACACATGAAAGCAGTTCACTCAGTGTTGTAGACATCCAAAGTCTCAGTAAACATGTTCATCTGCGCTTCATCAACACTAACTACAGCCTTGATTGTGACCAAAGACTGCCTAGCCCCATTTTCACAAGGCAAGCAATTGTCAGTGTTACTTTTAGTAAGGAGCTACCCTTGTGGCCTTTCAGGACAGATGCTTTATTTTTAGTAGTTGGTGAAACGTAGCACTAGTGGGGAAAAAGATGTTTTTACATTTTTTAGCTCGCTGAGCCTGTTGAACTCTATTGCTGGCTTTTTAAATGTTACCATTTCCTTGGAGTTGACACTAAACTGATTAACACTGTATCAAAAGTCTTCGTTGTTGTGATGTCAATACAAATTTTACATGCAGTCGGCAGTTTGCATGTCAAAGCCGAACAACCAAAACAGTAGCTTATCTAGGAGAGGTAGTCTAACCTGTCTGGGTTTGGTTGGCATAGCAACATTTGTTTCTGACTATATCAGAATTGACATATTTTAGTGTGTTTGGCCTAATAAACATTCTACTTTGTAAACAGACTCAACAGCAGCTTCATTGGCTGTGGGTTGGGCTATGCCAAGAAAAAAGCTGCATTAAAAATGGAAAAATAAAATCCCGATAGATATTATTGGCCTGTTACACAGAAAATCACACGAAGGCGGGCCTCTACACACTGGCCAGCTACATGTCACCATCAAGCAGAATTTAGTGACACAAAAGAGCTATGAAAGGGCATATGAAGACAAAAATGTAACATCTGGATACTCGGTGGATGTGTATCCAGAGATTACTCGTGGTGCCACCAGTTTTGCATGCACACCTCTGCATCAGCTGGGGGGAGAAAAGCAAATGTGAAAAACAGGAATGAACTATTATGATTTGTGGAACAATGGTGGGATGGAACGAGAAGGCAGGCTTTGTGGTGTCAACGCAAACACACGTGCACACACATTTTGCAGTGTTAACAAATGCCGATGGAAAGACTCATGCTGTTACATTGATCGCTTATAAATTACTTTGGATGGTGGGGCATAATGTCATTAACCTGGCACTGTATGGATGACAGGAATGTATGAGAGAGAAACATTGATGGAGAAAGCTGAATGGATTTCATAAAATGGCGCTTGATGGATATTTACACCATGTTAGCTACATATTTTCAGTTGAATCGCTGAGTATCTAAATTTAATTGAAAACTTGGATTATCCAGCTTTAGTCTTGATTAAAGAGACATTTACTTCAGGTTGTGTGAATTTATTTCTTTCTGTATTTGAGGATTGTAAATGCACGGTTGGGCATTTCTGGCACACGGGTGATGGTCGCTGCAAAACTTTTACTGTTACTAGCCTTGAACCCGGGTTTTAGTCAGAAAAGATTATTGCAGAAGTAATTTGGTGAAGGAAATGATGAGCTCTCAATTCTGCTTTAGGGTCGAGCCTTGTATTGTAGAAGAGAAGAAGGTTCAATAGTTGCTTCTGAGTGTCAGTTTAACATATAATGCCTAAGGCAGCACAGTTCCTGGTTAAAGATCTGTCTTTGAGTGGTGTGGCTGTTATTTGAGGGCAGCGACAGCAATCTGGCCGAGGCTGAGATTAATAGCAAGACTCCAAATATGTACCAGGAAGTCACTTTAATACTAGTTCAGGCAAAGAAGCTTGAAATCAACATAAATACAACTTTACTTGTAGTTAAGATCTTTACTATTGCCCACTAAGAAAAACCAATTGTTTTCCTACTATGGAGTAGTAATTTCCTACACTTGCTTGACTTTGTTATCTGTTACCGTGAAATTAATGGCCTTAAATGTAATTTTTGAAATTTATTTATTTTTGGCCGTATTGGCCTTTTTGGGGGTTTTGTTTTGCTTTTTTTTGCCTCTGTCACTAAGCTTGCTCCTATAACTGCCATTTTTATATTTTATATGCAATGCTCATTAATGTTTTTTTTAATGATCTTTGAATTTTGACTTGTCCCTGAGTTCAGTCAGAATTTATTTATCCTTTTCAGTTTATTATATTTATTTTATTTTTCAATATAAGAGGTTTTTTTGGGGCCTTCTTTTGGCCTTCTGTCTGTGGACTTCATCCAGTAACTTGGAGTTCCTCTTTACCTTTTAGCGAAGGAGCAGGGGCCGGGGTAGTAGGTCTCAAAGCTTAAGTGACTCTTCCACTCAGTGTATGGATAGACCCCCAGACACGGACAAGAAGGTAAGACAGCCTTAAGATCTTACCCTCTCTATGCCTCCCACCCACGATTGTGGCTCCATCAGAAACATACGCGCTCATTGTTACATGCTCACACTGTGGAGGTACAGGCAGATACACAGTATAAACTTTGAGCAGCAGTTAAAATGAATGTTGGAGAATTGCATTTACGAAAAACTTGAAATGTAGTTTTATTCATTTATTTTTAGCTATTTCTATCCAGATGTCCCAGAAAATAAAAAGGCCTCGCTCATATTACGTGCTTTTAACGCGTATGAGTTTGCAGAGCAATTTGTGGACAAGCAGAAGGCAAATGAGACGAAGCTTTGTGGAGGGTCAGTGTAGTCGTGTTGCATATTGATCTGTCGGATTGGCTGTCCTATAGGTTTGTTTTTTACATAAAAGTTGGTGTAATAAAATCAGAAAATGTTTTGTTTTCCCTTTAATATATTTCTAAAAGGAAGAAAAACCAATGTTTTTTGTTTTTTAAATACCACTGGTATGGGGGTGCTATCCCCTACACACTGTTGTTTTTTTTGTTTTTTTAATAGCTGTTTATTTATATATTTTCAAAGAGCCTAATACACATACAGCTAAGTACACAGCTGTGCAGGTAGTGTTTTTAAAATAACCCCATTATCTCCCCTTTTCTCTAAAAGCTCCAACATACCAAATTTGAGCTCAAAATTAAGTCTGTTGTACTATTATGTTTGTATTACTACATGATGAAAATGATTAAAACCCTAGCTACATTTTCCATTGAAATGGATGACTGATGGCCTTGAAAGGAATGGACTTGGTATTTTTTCTTCATTTTTAATCAGTGCTTCTCTGAAGAAAAACTCATGGATTTGATTTTTTTTAATAGCGTCTGAGCTTGACTGTAAAATGTATTTCTCTTTTTTTTTTTTGTCATATCTAAAAACTCATCACTGTTTTCTACTATTTCTCTAAGCATGTCTTTTAAAATCACCAAATTAGTTGAAGCTGATGTCCTATTGAGTGATGAAATTGTATTTCAGAGATCAGGCAGCTGGGGTGGCTGAGCTCCTCTGTGCCTACCAGTGATAACAACTTTAATGAATGTGAGATTAGTGTGACTTAATAACTCACGGCTGTTAGTTGAACATGTAATCACAGGCTGTGTGAAATCTGGATTTTTCAGTCAGTGTCAAGTCATCAATTTTACTTTTTGTTTGTTTGTTGTTGTTGAAGAAATGAACTTGGCGTGTTTGTCTGCAGTTGAAACAAAAAACTGTCAGTAAGATATTTAAATATTTACAGTTTAATAGCACAATAAAATTTACTTAAATATTCAATAAACAGTTTATCTGCCCTTTTTAAAGTTGTATAGATTTTATTATCATTCCCTCTAAACTCTCCAGATCCATGTCCTGTTATGATAGTGCTTTAACTGTGGATTTATCCTCGCATCTTTGATTGTGCTTATCACTGGGAAGAGTTTAGCAGTCCGCAGTGATTTATCAAAACAACGACTCCTGCTGCTCGATGGTGTCGGTGTTGGTGAAGGACTCATTGGATAAAACAAACAAGAACAAATGCTTAACATACTCAGACACTTAAAGCTGTTGTGTTTATGTGTGCATGACTGAAAATACTTTAGGCAAGGCCATCTCAGCCTGTCAGCTCACCACAGAATCACTATCTGACATGAATGAAAGGAGTTTAAAGGTGCTTCAGCCAGTTGATTGTTTCACGTTTTTAATCGGGGTTATCTAACACCACTGCACAGATGAAGAGCAGATATTGTTCCAGAATAACAATAATTTTATATCCTAAAGCAGTTTTCATTGCCGGGAGAGCCTGAAGCGCACACATTTAGTTTCTGCATCAAAGACTGTGAACTTTGGACTTTTTAGATGTGGAAAAAATGATTTCAGTGTCCAATTATAACTATTAACTTAAACTGGTTCATATTTAAAGTCTGTATCAACAGAAAAGTAAATGAGCTGTGGAGCTGTGGAAATATAAGTGCCAATCCAAAAGTTATTTTTCTCTGAAGGTAAAAGCAGAAAAGGAAAGAATTTATTTAAATATACGTCATTGTGTTTAATCTTGAAACCCCCGTAAGTGTTTCAAGAATGCATACCGGAGAATTAATGAATGCATGTTAGAGAAAATCAGCTCGGTAGATTATGTTAGTGACGGTGTGCTGCAAGCGCTTTTTGATGCTTTGAATTTTCACTTTTCTCCTGTTGTTGTGTTTTGTTTTATTTTTTTGTTTTTTTTTTAATACAGAGGGGGGAAAAGAGAATCTATTTTAATTGTGTTAACTTGTAGAAATTTGTGGCATCAGAATTAGAATTGTATGGCACATTTTGTGTGTGTGTGTTTGGCCACGTACTACTCGGTCTTACTGCCCTGGCTTTTGTTAATACTGCCTTATTAGCATTAGAGTATCCCCCCTCCTTGCTCTCTTGCACACATGCGCACATAAACACACCATCCCCATTCCTGGGTCAGAGATCAGTATGCTCAGATTTGTGAGTGTGTGTGCGTTCACATGCCTTTGTTATGTGGTTTGGAGGCTCAGATGTATACCCACCTCATGCTAGACCCTGCAGTCAGCCAAGATCCCCCACGCTGGCCGCATAGAAAAGGCCCGCAGGAAACACACACATCCATACACACACAATGGCTGGTCAGAAATCCTGCAGGAAACTGCACAGGGGAATTCCTGCTAGGCCAGGCCGGATTATTTTCCCCTGTACTTCCTGTTCCTCTCTTTCTGCCCGTCTTCTCTCGCTTCTCCTCACCCCCTGCTCCCTCCCCGTTTGCCCCCAACCCCCCCCAAGACGATGTCCTCCTGAGGCTGTTGTGCTGAATTGTGAAGCCATAAAATATGAAACTACATCAAATTATTAACAGACAATAGTTTCTCTTCCCATAATTGGTACCGGCATTTTCTATATTAAATAAAACGATAACATGTTACATTTTAAATAATTAATTAATGCATTAATACTTGTTATGCGCGTTACAGCAACGAAAAGTGCCAAAATGTGTGCGCCTCATAGGGCTGTTTGTTTTAACGTAGCTGTACTGAAACAAATTGGGTAGTGTAGATAATCAAATTTAACATGATTAAATGTTGAATAATTACAGACTGTTGATTGGAAAACAGAAGTAATTTGAAGAAATGAAAAATGTATGTGAAATGAAGTCAGATGAATTGATACATATTAATAATAGAGTCTGAATTTCAATACACATAGATGTAGCGAACAAGGGAATGGAGGTTTCTGTGCTTGTATTCTGCAAACTGTGAAGAGACAGAAGGAAAAGTGTCTTTAAAAGTGAACCTCTCTCTTCGGGGGCACGTGATCAGCATTCGACATAGACGGAGAGGATTTCTGCCCACTGCTGAATTGTTCATTGTTCAGGGGTTTGTTGATAAATAGATGCACTCATCATTACCCGCCACCACTCATATTTACCCCACACAGTCTCAAAGCCCTCTCGGACATGTCAAATGATCAGGCTGCCAGCGGTCAGCGTTAGAGAAAGAGGGGACAGAACATGCTGAAAGGCTTTGTCTCTGCCTGTATAATCAATTGACCTGATTGATAAGAGTGTGTCAGGGTAACATTGTGCATTTGTTGTGTTTCCCACGCCCAGTGGTGTGTGTGTGTGTGTGTGTGTGTGTGTGTGTGTGTGTGTGTGTGTGTGTGTGTGTGTGTGTGTGTGTGTGAGTGAGAGAGAGTGTGTGTTATCCGACCCTCTCGGCTCAGGCTCTGTCCATCAACACCTACCTCTGGAATGTTAATGAAAAACAAAAAGGGAATCCCAAAGAATTGACCTCTTTCTCTCCGTCACTCTCCCTCTTGCCATAATCGTAACATCTTTGTGTTGCGGCAGAAGCAGCGTGGATCATTTGTTGTCTGTTTTAAATCGCTACCTCTACCCTGTATTTCTGTTTGTTTTCGCACTCTTTATAGCCAGTGTGAGAGCTAAAGCACATTTCTTCAGGGTAGTTGCAAACAGCTGGTTGATAACTGGAAAAATGGCCAATGAACCAGCATCAGTTGTGATAAAATATAGCTGACTTATTGATTAATAAATGGTGGTTAATTTGTTTCCTGTAAATATAAGCCCAAATGAGGGGCCATTATGGAAATGAGACTGGAATTATTAATTATTATTATTAAATATTACTAAACCCCATAAACAGTGTTTGGCCAAAAGAGCAGTTTTTAAAAAACTGTGTTTCTCAAAAGAGCATTTCAAGTTACAAAACTCAAATGAAAAATTCAGAGGTGATCTTATGTCTGAAGATATAAAGCCTTGGTAAAAAGCTGTGACATGTGATACTGAAAATGTAGTTGAATCTGTTTTTAACTACTCCAACTAATAGAAGTTAGGGAGTTAATGAAAATAGTCAGGACTGGAACCTGTTTTAAGCTTCAACACATCCTCTGAAATACAGAAACCAGCAGAAGTCCTAACCTCATTAACGGTTAGCATTAACGGAAGCTGGCGTGCGGAGATGTCGCACTGGAGCTGCAATCTACTGATTCGGCTGGTGATGTCTGTTAACTGCCACTCGCAGAGGAAGTCTGGCTAAACTGTCACAATCCGTCTCGCAATCAGTCCTCAGCGAAACCCCGGGTGGGGAAGAGAAGGGGGAGGGGCCGATTATGGTGTTTCGGTGTTGTTGTGACATCGAACATCCCGAGCATGTCGAGTCCCACGTCGTCTCTCAGGATCGCTGCGTATTTTCACCATATACCTCCAAGAGTGTGCGTGTGCGCGAGTGCACGCACGTGAGGCTACGTCTGCTAGTACGCACGTACAGAAAAGTGTCAGGGCGCGGGGCGTGCATGTGAGGTGTAAATGCACTGGCACCCAGCCACCACCTCAAGGGTGCGAGAGAGGGGTGGCGGTGTGTGCGCAGGTTTGTGAGGGTGTAAATTGAGCTGTGATGGCCCAAGAAAAAGGATATGATTGGGTGAAGCGACAAGACCTTGCACGCATCAGCACGAGCGCAATGCTCAGCTCTTTACCGCAGCATGCTAAATTGTTGTTGCCTCCTGGTCCCCTTTTATCTCTCTTCCATCACTCTCTTTGTTTTTTGTGGATCGCCAGGCTTTCATCTCAGATTGAGTCTTTGAAATGCACTGCGGCTTCTTTCTCTGCCTCTCTTCACTGAACACACATGCACGCCGACTCGGTCTCCTCCACTTAGGTGCTTACATCCCATCTCATACATTAGCTTTTCCGCCAAGCACTTTTAAACAATGGTCTAAAATGTCCCCATAGTCTTTTTTTTTTCTTCTTGCCATTTTTAGTCTTTTCCTAGTGTTTCAAATATCCAAAGAACTAAGGTTCTTTTTTCTGGCTTTGTCCTTATTTCTTTCCTCCATTCACTCACGTGCTGAAAACCTTCACTCATCTGTTTTCTCTTCCCTCCCCTCCAATTTCAATCAGAAACATAAGGAGCGAGACCGGCACAAACCGAAACACAAGAAAACCTCCATGGACATGTCCCCCTCCCTCATCCTTCCGAACATCATGGTCCCAGAGAAGGTGAGAGCACCCCTCCTTTGTTTTGGTGATTAGTAACATGTGATTAAATATTAGAGTCAGAGTGGTTTACCTTGATTTATCTTTGTTAAACTCTTATATCCCTAAAACATCCTGTGGCCTTGATGTATTTTTCACTCATCTTTTTCATTTGGCCGTGTTTTTGATAATTTCCCTTCCTGTTCCGCTGTTTTGATTTTCTTGTCCTCCCTTTTTCTCCCAATATCCTTTTTTTTCTCCCATCATTCTCTCTCTCCCTCCCTCCCTCCCTCCCTCTTCATTTATTTATTTTTTTAACCTTCTTACAGACCTATAACAGTGGCAATTCAGGGGGAGGTGTCTCCTCTCTGCAAGCGTCTTCGCAGAAGCGATTAGATGACAGCGCAGCACGTTTTACCAACGCCAACTTTCAGGAAGTGTCGTCTGCTCACTCTGGCAGCAGTTCCAAGGACGCCTTGGCTGCAGACAGCGTCAAGGCTGCGACTGAGGTGAAGAACAAGAAGAACAGCGGTGGAGGTCACACGGTGGGACCGAGGGGCGGCCGCAAGTCTCTCACCTCCTCAGGGAAACCCCTCCCCTCTGCTGTGGTCACCATGGCAACTTCCTCTACATCTGCCTCAGCTTCAACTGGGCCTTTCCATCAAGGTGAATTGATGGTTGCAAATGGATCTCAATATTTCTCTCCCCCCACACACACATGGCAGTTAGAAAAGTGAGAATGCAACGATGGCTCTTCTGGTATTTTTACCCTGCACACCCACAAGAAAAACTGCAAATGCATTAAAATTGCAAAGCGTTATTTAAAACCTGAATGAACTTTTGATTCTCTGGTTTTATGGGTCCGTGTGTGCTGTGTCATTGACTGGATATCAGTCGGGCACCAGACTTTTGTCTCTCGCCGTGATAAGACTGTTTTGTCTCGGCTCTGTAATCTGGGGCCCCGTCTGAGAACAGCCCCGCGCACACAAACACAGGCCGACGGAACATGTGGGGAGGTCATGACGTGAAAGGAGTCATTGTTCACTCCTGTGTGCTCCTGTGTTTTGCGCTGTTACAGCCTTGAAGCCCTTGTCAGTTGTGTGTTTTTGTCTAGCAGAGAAATTGTGCATTGTGTACGCTTTCAAGAAACTGATGCAAGGGAGGGCTGCTTGACGAGGAAGGGCTGACTGTAGAGCAGATAGAGAGCATTTGAACTGATAAAATGTCTATTTTTGTTATCTTGTTTCTGTCGCTCTCAAGATGATCGAAAGGAGTGTGTTCTGGAAACTTGTACAGCTCTGATGTGTCATGCCTCTCCTCTCTTTGTTCATTCCTGTCCCACCCGTCTTTCATCCACCCAGGCCTCCTGTTGACCAGTGCCAGCAAGACCCCCTCTGCCGCTTCCTCCTCAGACTTCCTAAGTTTCACAGATTCATCGTTGCGTCCCGGTGGTGGAAGTACCTTCTCCTCCCCACCGTCTTTCAGCAGCTGCCTTGTGAAGCCAGGCTCAGAGGGTGGAGCTTCAGAGGGAACTACAACTCTCTTTGGTTCTCTTATGTCTGCAACCACAGCTTCAGCAGGTGCCACACTTCTTTTTCTTTAAAAAAAACACAACAATATAATTTTTGTTTAACTATTAAAAATATGTAACAATCACATTAACCAATGGGAAACACTGTTCTTTCTCATCATTGCAGTGGGTGGAAAGCTGTATGAGAATTCCCACAGTCACACAGTGAGTGAGACAACAAGCCTCGTTGGGTCCACTGGCTACAAACGGCCTCAGCCCTCGAGCTCAGGACTGGGGATCAGCGGAGCAGCCGCAGGAGGAGGGGAAGATGGGGTAAAGAAGAAAAAGAAGGGCAACTGGCGAAACAGATTTGGACCTTGCTTTACCACAGACGTGAAGCCTTCTGAGCCCGCACCCTCCCTAACTCTCCCCACCACCTCCACCGCCAACACCACCTCCTCCTCCACCGCCTCGCCTTCCTCCTCTTCGTCCTCAACGCTCTCAGGTCGCCCATGCTTAGTTTCCAGCAGTGGATTAGGGGTTGGGGTAGGAGGAGGATCAGGAGGTGGAGAGAGGGGGCTGGGGGTCATGGGCGTGAGCGGTGGGATTCAAAAGTCGCCGTCACTCCTCAGGAATGGGAGTCTGCAAAGCAACAGCAGCTCTACAACCACTGGGTCAGGTAAGGACGACTGAGAAATGTGACGCACAGCAACGTTTCACAACCCCTTTTAGAGTTTCGGAGACTTGAAGCCCGTCTGTCAGTTCTCATGACAGAATTAGCTTTATAGTTTCGCTGTAGCTGAGCGAATAATGAAATCAATTTTGGCAACTGAAATGAGGAACCGTGCTGGTTTCATTCAAGATCTATGGGGTAGTTGTGACTTGTAAGACCCCATTGTGCTCTCCAGTTTCATTACAATGATCAAAAGGAAAGTAGTTTGTGTGAGGCATTGTTGCAGCAGGTTTTCCAGCTGCTGAATGTAACACACCTGGGCAGCATATTTTAAATATTGACAATCAGAAATGGCCAGAGCCGGTGACACCTCCATGTTTGTGTGTAAGAGTGTGGGTCTGTGTGTTCCTGCACACACGTGGAAGTGGTCTGTATGCCTTCTTTTTTTGTTGTTGTTGTTGTTTTTTTTTTACCTTCTCATCGTGTGTTTTCAGTTGCTTGGCAACTGTCTTTATGCTTTGGAGTTTCCCTGATGGAAATGGCTCAGCACAGCCCGCACATCCCACATCTCCCTTTTCTTCCAGAATCATCACCCTTTTGTTTCTCCCTCCTGCTCTCAGCTGCTCGCACCTACCTGCCTTCTGCATACAGAACCAACACTCACCTGTTGATGCTGTGTGCACCTGGAGCTCTTAGTGTTGACACCCATACACGTGCACGCAAAGAAAGTGGACATGGTTATTTAAATTCATGCTATGGATGAATCCACTGATTAAGCTCAAATCCGTTGCTGATCACTAGGCTGACTTCTGTGAGTCTTTATCTCATATTTAGGATATTTTTGATTTAAGCTTTTCTAAATTGTCCTTTTTCCCTAGAAGTGATCGTTTCGAGTGATTGATTAGCCCTACATCTGTTCTTGACCTGTAGCTTTAAAACTTGTAGCTGTGATGAGTATTGGACATTGCAGCTCAGCACCAGATGGATTGGACTGCAGCGTTCACAGAAAGCGAAGATTCAGGAGTAATTATGTTGTTTGCAACAGAGAATTTGTAAAATGTGAAAAATGATGAGATTCTGATCAGAAATGTGTTGCTAGGCATTGGATGGTTGGCGGTCTTGATTTGCATTGTGTGTGTAGGAGTCGTACTTTTAATGGGAATGTTGTATTCTTGCAGCTCTCTGCCTGAATCAAACCAAAATCGTAACCATTCAAAGCTTAAGTGTGTTAAAACTACAGTCTTCACAAATACTCATCTTCTGTTCTGCATTCAAAGGTGGGTTTACTTTATATTTGAGTTGTTTTGGTCATGAGCGGGTGAGTCAGAGGACTGGTTCTGTTTGCTTTCTGAATTTAATTTTTTGCAGCAGGGGTGGTTGAGCTTGTTTGTGATTCCACATCCATTTTACTTTCTGGTTCTTTTTCCTTGAGCAGTTGGGGGCATTTCGGGCTTCAGCTGGCGAGAGAAGATAGGGCAAACAGTGGTGGTTATGTATGACTGTGCATCATACGTATGCGACTGTGAGAAATTAAATCATGTGTTCTTCTTCCTACTGTAAATATTTAGCCAGGGGTTAATGCAGGGCAGTAATGGGGAGGATCTTGGTGTTTATCTCCCCCTCCTCTGTCCTGTCTGCTGACTCCACCGTGCTGATGGATAGATAGTTAGCCTGATAAATATGTGGTGTTGGGTGGGGAGAAGCAGGGGGTGAGATTTTGGCTGGGTTAATGTTTGATGGCAGCGGGGTCACCGATGGGACGGACAAGCTCGCAGTAGTTTTGGTGTGTGGGGGAGGAGAGACGCTGGGGGAAGCAAAATTTATTCACACTGGTGACTATGTATGTGTTTAAAGAGAAGAAAAGCAGACAAGAAAACAAAAGATATCATTTATTCTTATATTTATTAGCTAATTTATGAGATTATTTTTACCCCTAACACTTTTTTTTTAAAAATGAATTTCCTCAATTATCAGCAGCTTGGTGTCACCTCTGCAGAGCACATGTGAGAGGTTGTGAAAGCAAGGAAATACTCTGTGAGCAGGATTTAATTTAAATAACAAATTAAGCTTAATGTTAAAATATGAGCATGTCTATTATTAAAGTTTGCAGGTGTGTAATAAATAAAGTAACATCAGAAGAAATTATTTAAAGATTCACAAATGTCAGTATTTTAAGGCAATACTGGAAAAATAGATAAATAAATGTAAAAAATCAGTAAATGGAGATTGGTTTGTAATTAGTACTTTTTTGGGGGGATATTGTGTGATATTGTGCCACGTCACAAGAAACAGAGAATTTATTATAAAAAGGGACATTTAAAAAATAATATATATTTTTAATGTAAATCAGAATATTTCCAGGTTTTTCACTAAACTGTAAACAAACTGTAGCAAATGAGTTTCTAGTGTTTAAAAAAAAATAGTAGTTTAGAGACCTGAATATGCCTCTTCTTATACTTATTGTGGAAACTGTTAAATTTAGTTTGCCGTTGTTGACTCTGAAACCGACACGCCTTTATCAGTCTACCACAAACCCACGTACATTTTCTGATGCACACACTCGTTGTGCGTGTTACAGTTGCTGTCCGTGATTTGGCTCTAAATGCATGTCTGTTTATCTTTGGTGGTAGAAAATTGTCAGAAAAACAAAAGGCTTTCTGTTGCTGAGACGTTTGTCTTTACATAAACATCTCCACGTTTAAACTCTGATGAAGTAACTGTCTGCAGTCTTTGGGAAAACAAGCTGCAAGGCTCCAGGAGAAAAGACACTGAATCAGACGTTAAATAACAGAATGTGATGGCATGCACTTTGTTTAATTTAATGTCATCTTTTTTTATATTCTGCATATAGACGACACAGATTTCTTCGTGAGATAATATCGGCTCGAACTAATCAAGGTGGATGTTTTTCAAGCTTACAGGCGTAGTGAGCAGGAAGGGAAAAGGAACAGGAAAGCTGGGCGATGGAGGCTGTTGTGCTTCAGGGGCTTAACAGTATTGATCATACAAATAGGTTATAAGTTTTACAAGCTCAGGTTTGTTTGTGTGTAAAGAAATATAAATATATATACTTTTTTGTTCTTTGTCTTCTTTTGAAAGAATCTTGCCACGAAAAGCAGTAATTAAATCTTAAAGGGAGCAAAAATACAGGTTAAGGTTAGCAAGTCCTCGTGATGAACAGCAGCTTTGTTTTGAATGGCCCTAATACACGTTTTTCAGATTATTTATTTATTTAATTGTCAGCTCAGCCCGAGAAATGTTAAACCTCTGGTCGATCTTGTAATCTACTTTTTGGCTAATTCCTGTGAATCAATAAATTTGGAGCAAAAAGAAAGAAAGAGTTTAGGAATTATAATAATTGTAGATGTTGAAAACATAATTGGTGTGCACGAGTAATTCAGTGTACATGAATTTAGTGTACTTGTTAAATTTGCGGGAATATTTTCATTAAAATTGTATGAGTTTGGGGAAAAACTTGGGTTTAGTTTGGTGATCTAATTCAGGAAAATAAATTAAACCCTTTTTTTTTTTTTTTTTTTTTTTTTTTTTAAGTGAGGATCAAATATTGCATACACGCACTGTGACACATAAATGACATTCAATTTTGGGACATTTAAATTACCCTCTGTATTATTATATTATAATGGCAATTTGAATTAAAATGAACCTTTCCCCCCCTCCTCCTGTTTCCTGCACTGTTTTTGCACCATCCCTTTGTGTGTAACCCATTTCATCAATGGCATTAGCTAAACTCTGATGAATTGTTGGTTTGGCCTCTAATCCAGCTGCTAAAAAATCTTGCAGGAGCTCATGCCCCCTGAGTCTCAGCAGCCCTGCTTTGGGTATCAATTTTTCTGGTGCATATTACAAAGTGTTATAAATAGTATGTAGGCCCATGTAGTGTGCTATCTCTCTCCCTCTCCCTCCCTCCACCCCTCCACCCCTCCCCTCCTGGCACAAAGATCTCTTGTTCCCCCAGTGAATGCGTGCTGCCCTGAGCCATTCAGGCTTTTGTGGGCCTGAGGGGCCCCTCTCTCTCCCCCCCTCCTCTGATGGGGTCAAAGGGGGGCAGGGGCAGGGTTTATCCCTAGTTAGTGGACGAGCACAAGGGTGTGTGAGGGGAGGAAAGAGAGCGAGCAGGAAGATAAGAGAGCGCAGTGTTTTTTGAGGATGTGTTAAAATACAGGAATATGTATGCGTGGGTGAATTACAGCAGTTTATATTTTAACTATAATATATAATTGTTATTTTTAATATGCATATGGGTAAAATTGGTGTGTTTTGTTTGCAAGACAAAGAGCACAAAAGGGAAGAACTTTGTTTCGTCTCTTATCCCTCATCTCAGTCCTTAAATATTTGATTTTAAGGTGTGTGTGTGTGTGTGTGTGTGTGTGTGTGTGTGTGTGTGTGTGTGTGTGTGTGTGTGTGTGTGTTTCTGTAATTATTGCAGTTCAGGTTTTTTTATGACTATAAAGACACTAAACTATCTTACTGCATACAAGCCTGCATACTGAACTGTTCATTACATTTGTTGAGTTTATTAATGACACATTAAATTTCTAACAGATCTGCAGTTTGTTGAAACTTTAATTTCCTTATTTCTGTTTCTCTGGTGTTCTCCCCCCCCCCCCCCCCCCCCCCCCCCCCCCCCATTCATTCGCCCTGTATTTTTTTTTCTTTGTTGTTGTTGTTGTTGTTGTTTTATTAAAAAGGGTCAAATGAAGTCGATTTAAGGCGGGTAACAAGAAATATATTTACACTTACTGCGCAAGTGCGTGGCTATTATGAAGACAAGATAATGGCGGTAAAACAATGAATAATTATTCTGAGAAAAATCGACTGTTAAAAATTTAATGATGCTTTCTAAGTCAAAATTGACTTGTATAAAATAACGGCATAGTCTGCATACAGTGTGTAAACCAAAAGAAATTGTATGTACCAAAAATCAAGGCTGGTGTAAAATTTTAAAGCGGTCTGTTATTCAGACTTTTAGACTAGACGCTAAAAGCCCACATTCATGTAACCCATGACGATGTGACAGCGAATCATCATACACGGCAGCAGGGCACAGAAATGTAGATCTCCTCTACTTTTGCTAAACTCTTTGTTTAATCATCTTAATAAACAGCTTATTTCTCCCCAGGTGTTTTCTCTGTTGCCGATGGGTCCTCATCGGGGACGGGAGCCGTCACCATGGGCGGAGCCAACTCGGAGTTGTCACAGCAACAGCAGCCCACACCTTCTCTAGCCCCTCCCTCTCCATTCACTGCCACAGCGCCGCTAAACAGCACGGCATCAACACACGTGAGTCTGCGCTACAACCTTTCTACACTCACGTATATGGAAATACACGCTCATCAAAGCCACCATGACGCACACTGTCTCTCTCACACACACACACGCACACACAGTCTATTCAGCACCCTCTACATCTGCCCATTCATCCACATCTTTGGCATCTTTGAGCTGAAGTGCAGATAAACTGTGGGAATACAAATAAACCAAAGCACACTAATTAAACGTCTTCCGCACCAAATCTCTCAGCACTATTGTTAATCCTCCGCACGTTAATTGTGTGTGAAATGTGTGTTTCCCGACCTTGTGCGCATTGTGTTTTCTCAGCTCAGTTATTCTGTAGCCAATGGTGAGGCTGCACCTGTAGAGGGTCGCTGTAGCTCATTCAGAGCACAAAAATAAGTCTTCTTAACATTTCAACTACAGCCTAATTAGTTTTTCCTACGTCTAGCGAGCGAGGTCTGTGAGAAAATACTCGAGTTATTTTTATTAATGAAACTGATAGAAATCTGTTTTTGTGACACAGAGGGAACATTGATAATTCATCTTTTTTCCCCTTTTCTTTTTGAAAGCGAGTACACATTCAAGTTCCTCTATAATGAAATGCTAGACAAACCCACCAAGGCTCTGTGTTGTTATAATATGCCTGCACGTTTATGATTTTTATCATGTCACTCAATGGGGAGAATGGTGACGGGGGTGGGGGGGCTTCTGGGCCAAGCTGGGAAAGCACTCATTCACAATACATTATGTGCGAAAGTGGAGAGAAATCAAGGCTGCGTAATTAAAGGAAATCAGTCCCATCGTGAAACATTTAAGGATTTGTCTTTTTTTTGTGGGCGGGAATAATGGAATGGAAATAAAAATGGTAATTTTTTAAATGTATTTCCATTTAAACCTCATATATAAAAGCAGCAGTTAAGCACTTTGAATGAATTATCCAACACCTTTCTCAATATTTAGGCTTTTCTTCATTTTCACTGTGCACTGCTGGCTCATATAACCCTGATATCCAGTTTTAAGGTTGTTGCATCCAACGTGATCAACTTGGCCCCTTTCAAAGCACCTATCTCCTAGAAGGGTGCAGCTCTTCTTCAATCACTGACCCCAGTGTCCGTCCTTTCAAAACGTCCCCAAAGTCTGCATTCTGTCTCTGTCCACCCAGCCCCATCTTTCGCCCATGTCCACTTACCACCTCTCTTTCGCTTTCTTTCTCTCACACACACACACACACACTTTCTCTCACCCTCGACCTTCCTTCTCTCCGTCCCCGTCCATTTCTCTTCCCCCCCTTCTCTAGTGTCCTGTGATGTAATGACATCTGACAAGCACCACAGTAGGGATGGAAAGATAGATGGTGGGAGGGGAGGGGTTGCAGCGACTGTGTGTTTAGGGGGGTTAGCGCTCTCGCTTTGGATTCGCTGGCTCGGCCTTCATCTCACCCTGCTCCTTCTCTGTTCAGCACATATTCTAGAGGACGGGAGGCCCAGGGAAGCACAGGATATCACGCCTGTTTTCTGCATGTATAGAGGAGCTTGGGTTGCGGCTGTGTGCGAGTTTGTGTGTCTGTGAGAGCGAGAGAGAGAAATGAGACGAGGGCTGCAGAAAGGAAGCATGGGGGCGACTTAATAGAGACGGTTTCTTTTTTCCCCCCACAGTTCTTTTCAAATTGTTTTAAACATGTGTGTTAGTTTGTAAAGTGTGATGCAGGCCTTTGGGCAGCAGACAAGTGAGCGCACACACACACACACACACACACACACACACACACACACTTTAAATCGAATTGGGAGTAATTACACAACTATAGAAGGATGCCAACAACAGGCTTTCCTGTGTGTGTGTGTGTGTGTGTGTGTGTGTGTGAGAGAGAGAGAGAGAGAGAGAGAGAGAGAGAGAGAGAGAGAGAGAGAGAGACTGGGTGAATGACAGAGACCATTTGCTATTTTCAGTGCGCTAGCAGACTCTTGGCCTACTGTTATTGGCTATCAGCCCAGGACAGAGAAAGGGAGTGCGAGAGAGACTTTAATGAAAAATGAATGTAAATGAAAAATGAATGTTGATGGGAAAGGGGGCAGGATTATGGCACTGGGAGGAGGACGGGGTGGGTGTAGAAAGAAATCTGAAGTCATTTCAGAGGAGGATGAAATAGTCAGAGGGAACAGGTTCCATTTTTGGAAATTAACCTTTAATAGGAATTGGAATTTGCGGGATGATTTTCTGTATTTACACCTACTGTGTGCATAAATTTCTGATATGAGATCATGGCTTTCAGGCTTTTTTTGTTTTATTCCTCTGAACCTCTCCAGAAATTTAAACAAATATATCCTAATCACCCCTAAAGCAGTGGGACAGAATACAGAAACACACAGGAGTTTTACAGACTCTCTAAAGTCTCTGTGTTTTTAGCCTTCATGTAACTGGTCTTTATGGCGTATTTATTTCAGCTCAAAATCAAACAATTTTACTCAAAGAGTTTTCTGATTGGAAACAAAGCGGAGAAAGTGTAGTAAAGCAAACTTACCCAAACTGTCAGTTTAAGCTGTTTTAGTTAAGTAACGATGTCTGGCCTTCACAATTTTTCCACACGTAAGCTGGACGAGAAACTACAACCTTGTTTCCAACGATGGATTTTAAATTCTCCTTTTTTTTCCCTCATTTACTCCTCAAAACACTAGTTTTTGTGCAATCAAAATGGTCAGCCATTTTGTCCTTCTAGATGGACCTGATCCTCCTGCTCATGCTCCACCCTCGCTGTCCTCGCTCTCTGTCGACCCCACCCTTCACTCCACAGTCCTTATTTGGGAAATGCCTTAATTGGATTAAACTCTATGCATCAGAAACACTTTGTCAGCATGTCAGCGTATTGTCGGGGTGCCGAGGCGCTCTGAGCCCTGTGTGTGTGTGTGTGTCTGTGTGTGTGTGTGTGTGTGTGTCTGTGTGTGCCTAACAGAATAATGAGCTGTGGATTTATAATATACTTGTGGGTGTGTGTTTTAATTTTTTAATGTATTTATTTTTTATAAGTGGTAGATTTCCGTCAGTCCACATTAAGATGCATTGCAGACACATGCACTCTTAACCTGTTACTATAACTGTTCCACTTGATAATAAAGAAACACTTCCTGGTTTTTGTTTATTTTTATGTATAATGCTTAAAGAACAAAATATAAAAATAAAATGATAATAATTCTGGTAATTTATATAGTAACACCAGCAAAAATATGCAGGTTTCCATATTTGAAATTTAGAGGTGTGTGTGTGTGTGTGTGTGTGTACACCAGTGTACATTTTTATCATTATTTTATTTATTTATTTTTTGTATATTTCAAGTCTATTTGAGCCCAGAACAGCTGTTTCTTGCTATCCTATCACATTTTATACGTTAGATTTTAAAAATATTGTAATTGTTTAGAAAAATCAAAAGTGTGTGTGTGTGTGTGTACACCAACAATAGTGTATTTTTATCATAAAAGCTAAAAATCGTCACCATGAGCCAAAAATTAAAGACTATTTTTAGCCATTTTTGTTTTAATAAATTCAATCTGATGTGTCCCAGGTTTATTCATTTATTATTCAACGTTTTAAAACGCGTTTCTTGGGACACTCAGACCGTTAAAACCTGAATCACCACGTGATTGTAATGTGGGAAACTTTCTTTCTCACTCTAAAAGTTTACAGCTGGATTCTTGCAAAATTTGTGAGATTATGATCAAGAGGGAATCGGTCTTGCCAGCTTAAATTTTGCCTTTCATGCCGTCAGTTGGCACTTTTTTTCTTTTTTTGAAGTTGCCTGCCTTTTTCCAAGCATGACTTCTCAGATGGTTCAGTGGAAAAGAACAATCATGCGGTTATCTGAAAACTGCTGGTTTAGCCATTATATTATAAAGAGTCAAATCAGAGAGAAAATGTGGCTTCTTGTGTCTCATGTGTCACTGTTTGTTTGTCTCCGTCCACAGGTGAGCGCTCTCCCAGGCTCTGTCTTCAACCTGGCCCCCCCCCACATGTTTGGCAACAGGCTGAACCCCAACTCGACCATGGCGGCGCTCATCGCACAGTCCGAAGCCTCACCGGCAGGTACAGCAGCAACACTTCATGCAGCAGTGCATGTTTGTTTGTGCGCATGTGGAAAAAATAAAATGTGTGCATGAGAGAGAGAGCGACAAGGACACGGAGATAATTGATAGGTCAATGCCCCCTTGATCCCGCAAAAAAGGTCAAGGGTCAGTGATATTCTTAAGCCCCTCCCACTCAGTTCTAGTTAAATGGCATAGGTTTTCCTCTATTTTCTCTTTTTTTTTTGTTTTCTGATAAACTTTAATCAGTATGAAAGAAAAAAAAATAGGCTCTTTTTGAGGAAATGCTCCTCCTGGAGCCGGCAGGAGCTCCAGAGGTAGAGAGAAAGTCCGTTTGTGTTGTCTGTTCAGCGCAGAGGAGCTGATGAGGGAGTTACGAGAGACTTTAGTAATCAAGAGTAGCCGTTTCCTGATGCAAGACATCTGGTTGGTCAAAGAGACGAGAAGCAAGAGAAAAGAGGCGAATAAAGAGTGCAGAGGAGGAAGCAGTTCCTGCTGCCGGTCAGCAGTCATCAGAGCCAGATCCAGGCTGACCCGCAGGTCAGCTCACTAATCAGGCTGACTGACAGGGGGCCGCGTGTGTGTGTGCGCGCATTCGTTCATGCGTGTGTCCATGTGTGTATGTGATCCAGAGACCTAAATCTGTTTACCTCACTTTATAAGCACCTATTTTTAATGGGTGCAAATCATGCATGTCAAGTTATTAACATCAGCACGTTTTTAGAAGTGAGTGCAGCGGTTTTTTGGTTTGTGTTTTTTAGAAACTACGGACAGGCTACCAGGCAGGTTCAGTGTGTTCAGCAAACCTTATATATAATTCATGAAAATGAACATTTTGATTGCAAACTCTAAAAAAAAAAACAAAAAAACAAAAAAACCCCCCAACAACAACTGTTTTCTTTTTGTAATTAAGAAAGGAAAAGATTTTATACCATATTTAATTTTGTAAGTTGTTTCAGGTGTGTGTGTGTGTGCGCGCGCTATGCTGTTGTGTAAAGTTAAATGTTTCCAATTGGAAATGTGTTTAATTTGTAATTAAATTAAATGTATAATTCAATATGAAGTCATTTCTGCCGTTTACACAATTTCAGATGTGAGTATTGTAAATGTTCTCCACTTTAATTTTAAGTGAAACTTAAATATAAACATAGTATGAATTAATAGGCCAGTGGTTTTTCTTTATTGATTAGATTTTCTTTAGCGTCAGTAAAATTTCTTTGTGCAAAAGGTGAAATATTCAGATATTAAACCAGCAAACAAGTATTGTATATTTTCCCCCCTATATTTGGAAACAGACTATTTTTGGAATATTGACAGTTGATTCATTATTGAAATAGTGGCAGATTTATTTTCACTTGATTGACCTATTACTTCATTGAGCTGCACTAACCAGTAATGAAAATAATCATTAAGCAGCCTTAATGAACATTGATATTTCCTTACCATAACATTAAGCACACAGACGTGGAGAACACGTGTCTGCGGCTACATAAGCATGAAGTTCTGTTTGTCGGCTAGTAAGGGTCATGTGAGCGTAAACGTGCAAGGTGTGTGTGTGTGCGTGTGTTTGTATGCATGCAGCCTGTTTACTTTGGCAGCCGTTTCTCTTTGCTTTTGAGTGTCTGGAGGGAGGTGCCAGGGACGAAAAGGGTTACGACAGAAAAAAGGACTTGAAAAAGAAGAGAGCGAGGGACTGGAGTGGTGACCTGGTGGGGGTAAAAGCTGGGATTGACTGTCTTAAGTAGAGGGGAGTTTGTGTGAGTGTGTAAATGCAAAAGTCTGTGTGCATGTGTGATTCATTACTCTCACTGAGGAAAATGAAAAGAAGCGTCTGGCCAGGGGCCCAGAGGGAGGAGAGACAGAGACTCTCACAGAAGGTAGAGAGGGAAGCACATGCAGTTTGAATGAAGGCTTGTGTTTGAAAGAGATACAGAGAGAGAGAGAGAGTTTTGTAGATTGCAGAGCCCACAGTATTGCAGCGCATGTAGCCTGGGTCAGAGGGAAAACAGAAAAACTTGAAAAGGGTCCTCTGTCTTCACTTCTTTTTATCATCCCGGACCCTTGAAAAAATATACTCCAGAGTGGATAAATCCAGGAACAACGGCAATTTGCTTTAGTGTGGTAGAGGACAATTATGCTTTTGAAAAATAATGTTGTACGCCTGGGGTGAAATTCCAGTGTGTCTCGGGTCATGCAGACTGCCACCCCTGTATGTATCTCCAAAATTAACCAGTGTTTTAACCATCACATATTTTCTTTTATAACTAAAGTGTTTTTAAAAATTAAAAAATTAAAGAAATCCAAATATAGTTAATTGGGAGTGATTGTGCTGTGTAACTGCTCTGCAGCGCGATGAAGATCCACCCTACTTAACTATGTTTTACAGCTGGGGTCAAGACAAATCTGTCATTTCCTGGAGCAGAAACATGTCTTGAGCTCAAAACTGCGTTTTTAACAAATTGTCAAACTTTAACAAATGTCCTGATGTGTGATTTTCCAAGCCGTTAAAGAAGGCTCAGAGTCTCCGGTCTGGATCAGTGTGTGAAGCTCCCTATAAGACATTTGAATGATCAATTTTTAAGCATTGCAACACTATGCAAAGAGTATTTACAAGCCACAGTTAAATGACTCATTTTCTCTGCCAGGAAACAGAAATAAACGACCGAACGATGAGTCTGGCTGTATTAAAACGCAGGTGATCACAAAGAGCCCGAGGATAGAAAACAAAGCAGGAAAGCTGGGTTGTTACGGATGTCTGGGATGCTTTGCAGTCTGTATTGTTTGCTTGCCTAAATAAATGAAGAAGCGTGTTTTTTATTCTTGTTTTTGTCTTGACTGGTGGCTTAAAAAAATAACCTGCAAACAGTATTGTGAGTGCGCTTTCACATTCAACTTCAGCCGGCTCTGTGTGGATATATTTATTTTTATGTCAGCATATATTGTGCAAAGCAGTTGGTCTAAGATCCATTCCTATATTACAAATAATGACTGAACAGGCTCATGCTGTAATGCTTATGTTTATGCCTGGTCTGTATTCTGATCATTAAAAGTACCCTAACTTCCAAGTAGGAAACTAAAATAAAATAACAAACAGATAAACGTCTTTATTCTCACATCTAACCCTCCAAAATTTGTAGAGCATTCATTTAAAGACCACAAATGAATTCCACATTTTTATGCTCATGTCAACATTATTCCATAATTTCATCCTAACAACAGAAAAACATCTTCTGTCCGTGTTCTCGTCCAATTGATTTTTTTTTTTTTTTTCTGTGTGTGTGTCTGTGTGCAGATCAGGAGGCGGGAGACGGCAGCAACAGCGGCGGCGGTTGTGTCGGAGCTCAGGGCTTCTCCATAAGAGCTTCTCCCAAGACCACCCCGCGGTGAGTGCACACACACACACACACACACACACACACACACACACACACACACACACACACACAGATACCCTCCCCAGCACTCCCTCACCATTTACATTCCTCACTGGTCCCCCTCCTTCACCCATCCCCCCCTCCCCCTTTCTGCTTTTCCCTTTGCTGGCCCCCTCATCTCCCCTCTCTTCCTCTCACTCCTCAAACACACACATGCACACTCTCTCTTTTGCTCTTGCCCCTACAGGCAATTCTTGCTCTCTCAGCCATCGATAACTTGTGTTTTTGAAGGTGGTAACCATCCTTCAAGTCCAGTTAGATGTTTTTTTCTTGTCTTCTTGTGTTTAAGGACAGTGTGATGAGTTATTGTATCTCCTCCATTTTGGAATGTTTGCATGGATCATTCAGGATCACGGGGAAATTGATCATACAGATAAACTTTTTTTTTTTGTTTCCGCTATTGTCTGTGGAATGGGTGATTTCACTTGATAAGGTTGGTTATATATGGTTTTATTTTTTATTTTTAAATCTAAATTTTTGGTCTTAAATTTAGGATAAATGACATTTAACTGCAAAAGGAAACACTGTAGCAAAATGAGGCGACTTTAAGACTGTTTAAGCTTCTTTAAAGTTTCATGTGCGAGTGGTGAGTTAAGTCATATTTTTACATTCCACAATAGGGGAAAATAAGATGCCGTTTGCACCCCTACGGCTCAGTCATCTCTTCCGGTGTCCTTTATTTCCCCTTTTCCCCTCTCCTCCTCTCCTCAGGCTCCAACAGCTTGTCTCAGTGCACACTGAGATTTATCGCATCAAGACAGTGCACTTCCCTCTCTCTGTCTGTCTCCCCCTGTTGCATGTCTTCTTTCTTCCTCTCTCTCCTAGTCTTTTTCTAGCTCTCACGCGCAGACAGAAAGCCTGGCCCCTTTTCATTAGGGGCCACTGTAACAACAAATTGATGTAGTTTTATAGCCAGCAGTGACTATGTTTGTCTGACGTTTATGTTAGGTCGTTAATCTCCCTATTGACCTCTCCATCTCTCCTTTTCTATCAATGCACTCTCTCTCTCTCTTCCCCTACATTCAGCTCTCCGATTGGTGGCCTGCAGATCCGCTATGACTCTTCTGGGTCGTTGCCGGGGCCGGGGCAGGGGTTGCTAGGGGCGGGAGGAGGTGGGGAGACGTTGCCCCCAGTGGCCACCAGCATTGAGCAGCTCCTGGAGAGGCAGTGGAACGAAGGGCAGAGCTTCCTGCTGCAGCAGGGAGCACAAGGAGACGGTGAGAAGACGCAAGCACCAAGCATCCTTAAAACTACAAGATTACCTAAAAGAATCGTCCGATTTCAGACTATTGCTCACCAGTAACTACTGAAAAACAGGCCTCTAAGCAGGGAGTGATTATTGGTAGCAGTGGCTGCAGTGACTCCAGACACAATTGACTATTGTGTGGACTAATGCCGGGTGTCCACAGGGATGTGGAGCACTTGTGAAAATTTTGTATGTAAAATATACCAAAAGCTTTTATGTCCATTACTTTAAAAAATATAGCCTTTTGAAATCGGATGATTCTGTTTGATACACACTTATGAGTTTGTTAATTCCATTTAAGTCTCTCACCAGACGGATTTTATTTCTACCTGTGACACCCTCACAGCATTTTATTTAACAAATAAGTCACATAAAAAACCCAAATAATAGTTTTACTCTCTATTTAAAAGATACAGTATAAGGCAAAAGGCCTGAAATCAAACAAAGGCAGTATGAAAACAAAAGGTGAATTCTCTTCATTTCAAAAATGACAGGAGATTAATCTCCTACCTCACACGCACTCATACACTTTGTCCACTTCACCATTTCCTTCTCTGTGTCAATTGATCCGTCGGCTCTTTGCCTTCGAGCTGTTGTGCAGAGCCGCTCCCTCTTTCAGTCACATTTTCACTTTATCTGTTATTGTTGCACCTGTCAATCTCTTGCTGGTTATCTACCTATCTGAACATCCCTTCTGGGATCAATAAAGTGAAAATGAAAAAGGGGGATGGCAGCCTGGTCGTTAGAAAGGCTGTCCTTCAATCGGATGAGTCAGGTTTAAGTTCCTGCATCTGCAAACCCTCCTCCTCCTCCCCCGACACAGAGTCCGTGCAGGCGCAAGGTCACTGTAGCTGACCTTGATCTCTGACATGTCTGTGTTGAGTATCTGTCTGATCGTCACTGTGTGTGTTGTTAATGTGAGGTATAAGAAAAGGCAGATTTAGAAAATGAGTGGCCTTTTAGAAAGTAAGGATATTGGTGAAAGGGTCAGTCCTGTAAAGATTCATCCCAGCATATAACCCAGCACCAGCACTGGTTATTTTACCTTCACTGTGGTGCAGCTAAAACAACAAGTGGGCTAACAGTGTTGACTGCAGACTGACGGGGCTGAGTTTTATTTCATTTGTGCAATTTTGAAGTCTTTATTTTCTCACACAGGTGTGGAGAGCAGTAAATTGAAAATTCAGAGCGGAGCTATTACAGAATATTTGGAGCAGGAAATAAAAAATCGCTGCTTTTTCTGTTCCCTCTCTCTTTCTCAGTGGTGAGCATGTTGAAGTCTCTGCACCAGCTCCAGGAGGAGAACAGGAGGCTGGAGGAGCAGATAAAAACTCTGACCATGAAGAAAGAGAGACTGCAGCTTCTCAGCGCACAGCTATCAGTGCCTTTCACACCTGCCACGGCCTCCTCGGGTACACAGACACTCTTACTTACTTAGAAATCAAGGTGAATGATGCACACCAGTGAGCCACAGCACCTGCCTGGCATTGTGCAGGTCTGCTTTGTGTCACTGAAACAGCTGCCCCCCCATTGATGTGTTTTGTGGTATCAGGCATCAAGCATGGCAGCAGGAGATCCTTAAAATGTTACCTCCATGGACTAAAAAAATATCACAGATGCTTGATCAGATTGAGAGCTCGGGAATTTAAAGGCCAAGACGACATCTAAAGTTATCGTTCAAGAAATTTTTGCACTGAGGGTGTGTTATATTTCTGAAAATGTGACAGTCCAATACTGTTGGCATGAAAGGTTTGAATGTGGCCTGCAACACTATTTTGGAGGATGTATGAGTAACAACCATCATCACCCTGCCTCTGCCAGCTTCCCTTCCTCCCATAGCACAGCCTGATGCATGCATGTGTTTATATCAAAGTTATTCAGATTCTTGCATCTGCACATGTTTTTTTTTTCTTCAGCTTTAAGATCTGACTGAGCTACTCTCTTGTTCCCGATCGAAAAGATGGATTGTTGCTGGCTGACGTCATTTAGCACAGAAAATTTCTAGAACTTGAAAAGCAGGTTTCACATTTTTTAGACTGGCCCTACTGAGACATGTCTAACCTTTCGGTTATCCGCAGATGTGAAGGGAGCCCAGCCGGGAGCAGCTGACTCATCTTTACCTGTGGCGACTCAGGTAAGGACAAATTCGTGGTTTGACTCCTCTGTAGTCAGCAGAGTTTGTGTTTTCAAACTAGTTTTTATGCTTTGTTTTGATTTCTGTTTTGATTTTCCAGAGTGGCTTTATTTTTATTTATTTTTTATTAGTTTCAGTGTTAGTTTTAGTCTTGAACACTCAGTAATTTATTTATGGCAAATGGCAGAGGCAAGATTTAAAGTCAGAATAGAAATTGGAATATAAACAGAACTTTTTGTAGTTGACTCACAGGCTTGTAGACTTTGAAAGTTTTTTCTTTTATTCTATTTATTCTTTAATATTGTAAATTAAGCAAACTGTAATGATCGCTTTAATTTAATGTCAAAAAGGTGTGAAATAACGCATATCCCAATTAATAGGCCACATCCTTCGGAGGCCGTATTTGAAGGTCGATTATGTCACAGCAAGGCAATGAAGGCTGTCCCAATTCGAAGGCTGCTCCAAATGCAGCCGACAAATGTGTCCTTCATTAACCTATCCCAGAATTCATAGCGCCAGTTTCCAACAATGGCGGCAGCTACTTAGTTTTAATATTACTCTTATTACTTTTTCTGGGTCACCAAATAAACTTTTAAGATGTTTTCAGGCGAGAATGTAGCTGTGTAAGCTTCAAATATCTGGTTGGTTTATCAAGACATCACATATTTGCAAACGTGCTTCAACGTTTTCGAAGGTGTCTGTTACCCACCAGCTCGATAGCTGACCGGGTGGTCAAGGCTCACTAGAGCCGGCAAGAACAGCAAACTCCCGGCACATCGTTTTCAGATCCCCGCGGTCTTTCACTCGGGTTAAACATGAAATATAAGTCACTTAAAATGTTATTGTTTGGCTTTTTACAGTGTTTTATTTGTTCCTGAGTAAATCGGTTTGGCTGAGATTAAAGTTATAGTTTTGACACAGCTGAATAAACGTCAAACAGAAAACACAGAAGTGTGAGATGGTAGAGAATGTACTCCAGTGTTCTGTTATATATTAGCAAGCGAGGAGCAGACGGCTGAATTTATTGAACTCCCCCGAGACCCAAAAATCTCCCCCGAAATCTGAAGGCTAGACCATCCCATTTCACAGCCTTGCACTTCCGGCCTTCTAGGTCTTCGAAGGACCCGGCCCATGTAGAACGTGAAGGCCTGGTCCTCTGAAGGATGCAGCCTATGAATTAGGACATAGCTACAGATTCTGAATGCAGGACTTTTCATTAATGGGAGTCTCTTTCTGGTCCTCAGGATAGTGCATCTTGTGGTGGTCACAGCAGTAGTGGCTCCACCTCCTCCCTCTCCACACCTCCCTCGGTGTCCCAGAGTCCACCTCAGCCACAGCTCAATGGGGTCGCCTCCGTAGGGGTGACCCCGGCTGGGTTGGGCGGCGTGGCGGGGCTAATGGGGGCTCTGGGCGCAGGGAGTGCGCTGGGCATGGGTGGAATCGTCGGGGCTCTGAACGGCGTGATCCAGACGCCGGCCGGCACCTCCAGCCCTCACACACACACTACAGGAGCAGCTACAGGCGTCACTTTGCCCGTCAATAACAAGTATGGCTGTTTTCATCTTCCTCTAATACATTAAGCGCCCTTTTCAGATTAATAAAGCATCAACACTGGGATGCGAATTGTGTTGGAAGCCTTTGATGATAATAAAATCAATACATGCGGTTTCACATCACCCTTCCCAACAAATTGGTTGACTGTCAGCGAGTTAAAGAGCTCCAGATGGGTGTCAGTAGCTTCACATTTTCAAGGCCCTTTCACATAAGCACATAGTTAAGTACTGAAAATGTTCGGGAATATGTTTGTCTCGGCTTCCCAAGAAGTTTAAATGTGAACTTTATTGCATCCTCTCTTCCTCTTTGTGTCTTTTTGCTTCCGCAATGGATTTTAGCAGCTCAGCAACTAGTAAGACCAGGTGAGGCAGAAGCTGGTGCCACTTCACAAACCGCCGTAGCTCTGTTTTCATCAGTGTGTCAGCTTTGTGAAGAAATGCTGTAGTCATGCATGTTTTTTTGAGTTTGAATCTTTTCTTGTTTTGTTTTGGGGGTTTTTTGAAGCAAAAAATAAGCTCATGTTTTTCTTTATAACTTATAGAAACAGATAAATGTTAATATTTTCTGTCACTCTCACCGTCACAGACCTGTAATGTTTTTAAAAAGTGTGCTAAACAGTCTGGTACTGTGCAGGCAGAGTGTTAATTGCGTTTGTCTCACTGTGAGTGTGCTTTGTCTCCTCAGCGCGACGCGAATTGGCCTGCTGTCTGAGCAGCAGAGATTGCTCCTGCAGCAGCATCAGCTCCACCAGCTGCTGTCCTCACAGCCTTCAGTGGTACTACACACACACACACTATGCACATTTGATTACTTACTACTATCACACACAGTTAAACACAAAGACACTGAGCTACAATTTTCTTTTAGACGATAGTCTAAATCACCTAGCTTATTAACTCTTCTTCTTCCCCTCTTTTCCACACTTTCCCCTGCTTTTTTTCTTCTGTCTCACGCTCTGTTCCCCCCTTCAACTCTTTTCTTTAATGACACCTCCACTTAATCCTCTTCTCTTTTTTTTCTTTTTCTTTTTTCTCTCATTCTTCCTCCTTGTTTCCTCCCTCCTTGCATCTCCCCCTTCCTCCCTCTGCTCCCCAGGAGCAGCAGCAGGTGTTGCTCTACCAACTGATGCAGCAGCAGGACCTCCAGCAGCTGCAGTCCCTCTCCTCCTCTGCCCAGATTCCCTCCATTCCACTCTCTTCCGCTCAGCTGCCCATCAACAACTTGCTGCCCGGCGCCCAGAGCCAGGGCCAAGGCACCATCACCGCCAACCCCTTCCTGGCGCTGCAGCACGCACACGCCGACACGCATGGCTCAGGGGCGCAGAAGCCCCGGCTAGCCGAAAAAGCCGTTGGCGTCGGAGGGCAAGAGAAGACGTGACGGCATATGTTCTTTTTGTTTCCTTTTTTTCTTTTTATTGTTTTGTTTTTTTGTTTTACATATATATAAATATAAATATATATATATACATGCGCAGAGTTTTTTGGGATCAGTCTGTTGGTCAACTTTGTAGGTTAGTGATGAGAACATCTGCAGGAGAGCAAAATGTGTTCATGTTAGATATTTGTTTCCAGCAGTGTGTTAAAGCATAACACACACACTCTCTCTGTGTGGAGTTATACAGAAGACTGTCTGTAGTTTAGGTTCTGATCTCGACACCACGTTTTGTGTCATTTTGTATTATTTATTTGATTTAACGACTTTTTAGCTGCTTTGAGTCCTTATTTTGATTGCTTTGTCTACTTAAAGATTTTTTTAGTTATTTAATACTGCTGGTAGTAACTGAACGTGTGTTACTGTCAGTACGTAGCACCAGCGGACATGGTGTGTTTAGTCTCTTCTCTCAACAGTTCAGTTGACTGACAGGTTCCCAGAAACTCTTTTTATTTCTTCGGTGTTTCCTACTCCAAATCTTGTTCCAGGTTTTGTTTTGGGGTTTTTTTTTTTCCTCTCTCATATTTTTTTTTTTTTAAATTAATGTTTTTGTAATGGTCTGGTCTCTCTGCTGTTTCACTCTCTCAGGGGCTTCAGCCAAACCAGCAGTTGTGCTGCAGCGCACAAGCTGGCACACACACAGAACTACAAACATTTGAAAAAAAAAGAAAAGAAAATGGCAGCAATATTATGATTAGGACAACAGTACAATTCCCTGTTATAGGACTTACCAGTCATAGATGTGTGATTGACATCTGTCTCGCAGCAGTCCTGGAGGGACTATTAAATGAGGAAATGTCCCACACGTCCTCAGTGCTGCCTTCTCTCCCCGTGTCTCCTTCCCGCAGTTTGCGTACATCCATTAATGTCCGTGAGCCAAGCCTCGTATGGTCACCACAGAAGCCTTGCTTTTGACTGTCTCTTCTCTGGGCCAGATACAGGAGGATCATTCGGGGAAAAGAAATGTAAAAGAGGAGAAAAAAAGATTATTCAAAAAAGTACGTTGAATGTTCACAAAGATGCTTAAATCCACGTCACACATCCACTTTCAGAGATAAACCACGCAGTTGGTTATCAGCAAGTGGAAGTGATTGCATTTCATCTTCCCGATTGAGCCTCCTGCTGCACCTACCTCTCGAGCAGGACCAGCCTATCAGGACCTAAAAGGCCGACAGCAGCGGCCACTTATAAACCCACAACAGTCAGGACTGGCCAATCAGGGTCCAAACCCAAGTGCCTGAGGCCAAAAGAGGAAAGTGGGATTTTGTTTTTTTTTTAAAAAGCAAACAAATATATATATATATTAAAAAACACTTGGTCACTCTACCCAATTTTTCACAGTGCTACTGGTAATGAAGCTGCGTTGCTAAGGCAACAGATTACAAAAACTCTTGGTCCTTCAGGCTGGACGTCTCTTTAACAAAACTAGGAACTTTTATTCTGCTGCATTCTCTAATATCAAAGCCAACTTTGTGTTGTGCTTTCTATTTATCTGGAGGTTTTGTGTAATGGGCATAAGATGATATATTTTAAAAGCCCGCTTGTTTTTGCAATTTAGCATCATTTTGTACTACTGTGTAAAGTTTTTTTTTTTTCCTTTTGTTCCTCTGTTCAGTCTAATCTTGCTGTAAACCCTTTTAATGATTTCTATTTTTGTCATGTGTTTAAAGCTAGGAGCTACTTATTAGCTGGCTGATTTGGGAGGGGTTGTGGTTGTATATAGGTGTTTGTAGGGGAGGAGGAAGTGTGTCAGGGGGGGCACTTGGTGGCACAGTTTTTACCTCGTTAAGTGTACATAAATCTTTCTCATTGGCCGTTGGTTGTACATAAGTGATTATGATTGGTCGTGCTGGTGTGAAGGAAAGCCAATGAAGCCTCAGTTCATGTGTGTGAATCTTTAGGACCAGACAATAAGGTTGACAGTGACTGGACACAAAAGTATTAATTTATTTTTATATGTGCAGGGACATTGTGTTTCTTTTTTTTCTTTTTTTCTTTTTTTTAATGTTTTGCACCATTTTCTTGATGGAAAGTCATTTTATACTCTGGGCACCATATTTTCATCTGTGCACACATTTTGTTGGATAAATTTTCTAAGAGTGTAAAAAAATTGGTGGGGGATTGACAATGTATTTAAAAAAAAAAAAAAAGAAAATTAAAGAAACACTCTGGTTAAGTAAGAGCAGCGTTTGGTGTTTGTATCAAAGTATCAGTAAAAAAATCACAAAATCACGCATGCTGTAAATGTGTTTGCTTTTACCGTGACGCTGATCAGTAGAAAGAAACTAAATGAACCAGAGAGAGGGCTGGACACTAGTTTTTATCCGGCCTGGTGCTAAAACGGCACTAAAACCCCCAATAAGATGACATTTAATTCAAAACAAATGCACACAGTTTAAAAATCCCCCAACAGAGCCCGTTCATAAACTCACAATTTTTTAGCCACCTCACAAATACTTCTTTAATAAAACAACTAATATTATCAAAAAATAAATTACAAGCTGCATATATTTTAATTCGCTGATTAAATGCATGTTATTTTTGTCCTTCCTGCGCATATGTCAGATGATTTACGAGGTGAGTGTAGATGAGATTAAAATGTTCCTGTTAAACCAGTGGTTTCTTTTCCCCCAGTTTGAAGCCACTCTTACGAGCGGACTTGTAAGCTGTATTTTGAATAGAGTCAAACCTTTCCTGACTTATACTCCGTGCCATTAATTACACTGTAAATTGTGGACGAGGAGGCGCTAAGCGGGATGTGAATTATTCTGTAACAAGAAGGGAGGTGAGGGGGGTTGGGGGAGAAAAATAAATAATCATCGAGCAACCAAAGTGCCAATAGAAACTCAACATCTTTAAATTTAAACATTGTGCTTCGGGGCTCCTGTCCTTACAAATATGCACCCACAACCAAAGCTGATGACTTCCAGCTGCCGCTGCTGTGTTTGCGTTGAGGTGGGGGCACCATTCTGCTACATCTGCTTCTGCCCTGGTAATTAAAAGCTCACTTTCCTCCTGCACCCCCCCCCCCCCCCCCCCCCCTACTCCCTCGAAAATACACCCCCTCCTTAGGAGTGTTGAAACCCCCCACCCCACCCACACTCGCCCGCGCGCTTTGCATGTACACGCACAAATACACCCAGAATCTAACCTGCATTCAACAACGCAACCCCCCTTTTTCCTTTACCCGAGCACTTGCTCATTCACCCCTCCCACTGCCAACTATCCCTCACTGTGACCTCCCCTCATCCATCCACCCTCCACTCACTATCAGCCCTGTCAATCAAAGCTAGGCTGTTTAAAACGCATACCCCCCAGCACCACCACTTCCCCACCTCCACCATCTTTTATAAGCCTCCCACTAACAGCCCTGCCTCTCTCACACACACGCACACACACGCATGCGGGCCAGAGCCACTGTGTCCATCATCGATCACGCTCCCCCAGAAGCATTTTCCAGGGTTGGGAGGGCTTACCAGCTGATTCAGGACCCCTGTGTGCTGCCCAACTAGGTGCCTGATTACAAAGTCAAAACATGACTAAGCCCCGGTATTAGGAGACAGGAGAGCTCTCTGTCTTATGCACACACACACACATACACATAGAGCAGATAGCAGGCCAGCAGGAGGGTTAAGCCCGGGATGATTAGACAAATGTAGGGCAGATATCTGCGGCTTCAGAGGCAGGCTGAGCCGCTGTCACCGAGGAATGCTCTGCAGCATTAAAGATACCTGTCTCACACTGAGCATGCTCACTCTGCGGTTCAGTTTCTACTTAAATGTTCTCCTTTTTTTCAGGTAAGGCTTTTGTAATTGATTAGTGTTCGTGAAGGCTTTGAATAAGCCCCAAATAATAACTAAATAAATATATATGGAGAAAAGTGCAGTGAAAAGGAGGTTTTATATTTATGGGTTTAAAATCTTGGGAGGAAACATTTTACAACAGTTAAAGAAATATTTCAACTAGCAATGCAGAAAGATCAAACTTGATTTGTAATTGTGTCATTTGACTTTTGTAAATAAGTAGAGGCCTTACATTAAAGAAAACCTAGAAAAGTAAGCTGCTGCAGCAGGTTGACACCAAGTGTGATTTTTTTTTCATTTATAAGATTTAAATTTATTTGTCTTATATGCGTCAGCCTCTTGTTCCAGCATAATTTAAAAGTAAAAACATGAATTCACCCCCATGGAGTGAAAACCAAGAGTTTGTAAACGAATTGATTCCTTTACTGAGTGAAACGGGGGGGAAAAGGTCAAACTTGATGTTAAATAAACCTAAAAATGCTTTCAGGGGCCTATTATTTTGAAAAGCCGACAGGTTGAAGATGCGCAGTTTCCACAGGACGTGAACTTTAACAAACTTACAATATTTGTTGCAATCATCGCTCCCATTCTGTCACACTCCAGACCGAGCAGAAATAAAACAAGTTCGCCAGATGCCAAAAATAATTCCTCTACACGGGTTTCGGCACATGTTTGGTAATTCAGCTAAATTATTTAATTAGACCCCAGCCTCAAATACGGAGAGCAAAGAGCAATAAAGCCGAGAGAGGCTTCGGTGTAGTAAACCATTAGTAAGAAGGAGGCTGTCGCTGGTTTGTATAGTAATGCAGTGTAAATCATCACAGAGTGGCTGCCATTAGGAGGCTTAATCCTGGGCCGAAACCTGCAGTCAGCTGCCAGGGGCCCTGATCGGGTGCCGAGTGGAACCAGAGCCGGCAAACAGAGGTGTTTAGGGCCGTGAGGGCAGGAGGAAGAGGAGGAAGGGTGCAAGAGACAGAGTGTGGAGGGAACAGCTGAGGAGATTCCCAGCGAGAGTGTGTGTGTGCGTGTGTGTGTATTTGTGTGTCAGCCCCCCCACAGGTCGCTCTCCTGTGGGATAATGGTGGCGAGGAGAAGCAGCAGGATTCAGCCTCATCCCTCTTCATTCTCAGACAGCTCGTATTCTTCTGCTAAGTGACACTCCTCTGTCACCCCCGGCACAAACACACACACACAGACATGCATATATACACTATTCTCAGAATCCTCTCTTTCTTTGTGTGTGTGTGTGCGTGTGTGTGTGTGCGCGCGCCTTCCAGCTGAATTACACCTCGCAGTTTCCTCGAAGCTTATTGATGCCACTGCAAAAATGACAAAGCAGGACGACTGACAGTAAACAAGCACAGCACCCTTTTTACTTTCAAAGTCAAATTTGCCCACTTGTCACCCTCGATCAGATCTGAAAAGCTCTGCAAAGCATTTGGACCGCCATAGACTGTGTTGCCTACAGCGGTGAGAAGTTATACGCAGCTTGAAAATTATGCCAATAATGCTGAAATATTACGGAGAGATTAAAACTACACACAGCTCTGGAAAGATGGGAAAAAGTACAGAAGTAAAAGCTCACAAAACTGAGTGAATCTGTCTGTGTGGAAAAACATAATTGCGGAAATTGTGTAAAATAATAATAATAATTAATACATATGCAATATTATCGTATATTTTTTTAAACTATATTTTAGGAATGTGTTTTGGGGGGCTTTGCGGTATTGCTAATAAAAACCCACGCCTAAATAAAAAAAAGTAAAAATAGCAATAAAATATAGTTTAGATATAGGCTGAGTTCAGTGTCAATAATTACCATAGAATAAGTCATTCAAATAAAAGGCGTTGTATAATAAAAGTGTTTGCAATGCGGAGGAGCACAGGCAGGAGTTTCCTGGTCGCCTCTCTGAGCTGCAGCGTGTCCCGCTGACTCAGCGGCGCCTGCTCCGCTCGCCTGCCGCTCAGAGTGCGTCGCTGCACGGCTCGAGAGCCGTCTTGCCTCGCGCCCCTCGCGGCTCCCGCTACGAGCGAGAAGAAAGGAAGCTCAGAAAACCGCAGCGAAGCGAGAAAGAGAACTTCACCGCGAGCTGATGGCAACGACAATTCAGCGGTGAAGGGAGGGAGGGGGGTGTTTGAAGAAGCGGTTGTTTTTTCTTCTTTCCGCGTCTGCTTTTCCCCTTTGGAGGCGGGGAAGGGGAAATGCAGCTCCCCGGTAAAAGCACTCTGCCACCGAGGAGCGGTGCTCAGTGCAGCCGTGGGGGCTAAACGTGAAGCTCCGCGATGCTTTGATTTGTGTTTCAGGGCATCAAAATTCAAATCTATTATCGTAATAAATTATAAAACACTTTTTTACATTTTACGTCTAATTTATTATTATTTATATATTTTTTTAAAACTCTTATTTTCACACACACTAATAAACCCCCCCACTGTAGACAGACTGGTGTAATGCGCTTTTAGCGCAGTGATATTATGCTAAATGGGGATCTAATGATGTGAGACGACAGCAGGAAATATTTTAAAGTCACGTGTCACTTTAGGCTCGTGTTTATGTGATCTCCTGCGAATATATATATTTTAATGGCGTTAATAAATGTGGGGTGTTAGCAGCATCGTCTTACTTTACTCTGTCGTCACAGCTGGTTGTTTTTCTGTAGTGTTTACCTCTTTAAAAAAAGAAGTAGAGCCTCCTATCTACTGTGGCGACCTGCGGGCTGTTGTTTTGAAGACCATCGACCACAGCAGCACACTGCAGGGAAGCTGCATGACCCACACAGAAATGCACTGAATTATGTATAAACTCAATTAAACTCATTTAGAAAGCTCCTGTTTTCTTTCCAAATGGCATTTCTCCTCCTTCAGCTCCTATTTATATTGTGTTATGTTGTTTAAAAGGTGTGCTGTGCCTATTTAAATGCACGGTAAAAAAAAAGAAAAAGAAACAAAAAAGCAAAACACATGAAATATATATATACATGAAATATATATATACATATATATATATATATATATATATATATATACATATATATATACATATATATATATATACATATATATATATATATATATACATATATATATATATGTATATACATATATATATATATATATATACATATATATATACATATATATATACATATATATATGTATATATATATGTATATATATATATGTATATATATGTGTATATATATGTATATATATATATACATATATATATGTATATATATATACATATATATATATGTGTATATATATATATATATATATACACATATATATATGTATATATATATACATATATATATGTATATATATATATATATACATATATATATATATACATATATATATATACATATATATATACATATATATATACATATATATATGTATATATATATATATATATATATATGT